CTTGCCATTTCTATATTCTTATATTAAATATATCTTATCTTATATCTACCTAATTTTATATCTAGATTGTAACCTCCTGGGGGTAAAACTCCTTTTTTTGCATGTAGAATGGTCTCATTCATGCAAAGCACTTAGTAAATGTTTGTTGAACCAACAGGCAAAAAAAAAACCCAACATGTAGAACATTTGACAGGTTAAGGTACTTGGTCTCTCACAGATACAAAATTGTAGCTCTGGGGCTGCAATCCTCAAATGAGACAATGCCTCTTCTTTTGGTTGCCTGAAGCTTTAATCCTAGGAAACAGGTAACTGGTAATTTGATGGGATGTCTAAAATGACAGAATACAAAAGATTGTTATTTTCTAGACACCCAATACTAAATCTCAAGTTACAGGATTCTGTAAAAGCAGGAGCTAATGTATTTATAAATTTTAGGTGTATCTCCTTAGTGTTTAATAATTTCCTACAAGGAACTGATGCTCCTGACCAACCAACAGGATGTAAACCATGCTGCCTCTGCTGCCTTACCACCTACTCATTCCTCTTTTCCTTGAAGTCTGGCTTCTGGCCTTACCATTCCACCAAACTTTCTAAAGGACCTCTTAGATTACAAATCCAATGGACTTTTTCTCAGTCTTTCTCTTTCTTGACCTGTTTTCAATATTTAATACTACTAATTGCTACTTTGTCCCCCTGGATGCTTTATCCCCTCTTGCATTCTGTGACATCACTTTCTCCTGGAATCTACATATTCAGCCCAAATTTCCTTTGCTGAGCACCAATGTTTTCTCCATTTGCCTGCCTGATACCTTTCACCTGGTTCATCAGTCACCTAGACTCATCTTCCACAGACAGACCCCAAAACCTCACCCTTTCCTCCTGGACTTCTTGTTTCTCTTAAGAACATCACAATCCTCTCCATCACCCAGGCTTGGGTCCTTTGAGTCATTTTTTTTTTTTACTCTTTCTCTTCAAAACACATTCTAAGTCCTATTAATTCTTCTTCCAGAATCTCTCCTGTATTCATCCTCTCCACATAGGCTACTATAACTCAAATTCAGGCCCTCATCATCCCCTACCTGGACAATAATAATTGTAAAAGCCTCTTCAATGGTCTCCCCCATTCCAGTCTTCTTCCTCTATCACCTATCCTTCATATACATTTCAAAATAATTCTCTTAAATACATAACTCTAATTACCTCATTTCTCTTTATTCATAAATCCTCAGCATTGCCTAGGATAAAATATAAATTTTTTATCATGACAGTTTAAGGTTTTATACAATCTAGCTCCAATCTACATATCTAGTCTTATTTCAGACTACTGCCTACAATATCGTTTAGGTTCTGGCCGTTCTAGACTAGGAGCTTTTCCTTGATCTTATCTTGCCTTCATATGTTTGAGCATGCCACCCCCATCCCTTGCTATTGAATCCTTTTTCTTCAAGGCTATTTCAGGTACCACCTCCATGAAGTCTTTCCTGATCCTGAAAGCTTGGAAGGGATTTTTCTGCTCTCAATTCATCCTAGAGAATTTTGCCTGCCATCCCTCCTTTGACCTAAAATGATCACTTTCTACCTTATATTAAACGCATTTATGTACATGATTTATCCTCATGTATAGACTGTTTACTCCTTGAGGGCAAGGACCATATTATTGTTATCTTTGTATTCCCAATAACTTGTGCTCAAGGTAGGAACTTATTTTATTAAAGTTAGTTGAAAATTGAATTGAGTTAATTTTCTATTAGTGACTGGTTCATGCTAAAACAGTTACTTTCTTACCTGGTCATCCTTGTGCCAGGTCAACACATTTAACAGCTAGCAGGGGATATGTTTGATATAATCTGGTCAGTGGAACCAAGCTTTTCTTTGGTCAAAGTAAAATGACTTATGGGATTGAAACCTATCACCTTGAACTAATTAGCCTATATAGTCCTCTAAACAAATGAACTAATAACCTGGGGATAACCCAAAATGCATTTTGGTAATGATGAATTGGGGTACATTAGTTTGAATAAAATAACAAAAAATTCCTTTAGTTTTCCAACAATATTATTAGCTTTTATTACAAATATTTTAAAGGTTTATAAGAGATTTGTCCATTCAGCATTTTAGTGTGAATTATGTGCATGTGTGACATAACTATAAATTAGAACTTACATTAATATTATAGCTTAAGGTTCACAAAGTACTTTCCTCACAGCAACTCAGTAGGTGGTACATCAATTATCATTTTACAGATGAGGATACTGAAGCTCCAAGAAATTAACCAATTTGCTCAAGGTCACAGAGCTAATGAGTGTCAGGACTGGGATTCAAATGAGATCATCTAACTGCAAGTCCATTGCTTTCTACACTATACATACTGCCTTATGGTCTCTGTCCCTCAGTGAGCTTACAGTTTAGTTAGAGAAATAAGACAGGTACCTACATAAGAATAATACATGGAAAAATCTAATAAATATAAGAAAAGGTGAAGATAATGGGAGAGTTTTCAAAAGGGAGGCATCATTCCTGTCTAGGGGTAACAAGGAAGACTTCACTGTAAACATTTCATCTGAATGGGCCTTAAAGGATGGGTTCAGTTTTGACCAGTTAGGATGAAGAAAAAAAGGGCCTTTCAGTTTGAAGGAATATAGGATCATAGGTTTAGAATTGGAAGGGACAATAGAAATCCTCTAGTGCAACCCTTTCGTTTTACAGATAAGGAAACGAAGTCCCATAGAGGTTAAATATCTTGCCCGGGGTCACAGAGGTAATAAAATACCAGTCAGGATTTCAATACAGGTTCTCTGAATCTAAATCTAGCATACCACACCTCCTTTCATAAGTAAAAGAGCAGAAGGGGGAAGTATGGGGCATGTTTGTAAAACTAGAAGTTAGAATCATAGGTAATTAGAGCTAGAATATACCCTAAAGGTATTTGTATGCATGGAAGGGAACTGAAGCCAAAAAGGTAGAATGATTTGCCCCAGCTAATTAGTAGTAAGCTCTCTTGATTCCCAACGGTGATGATCTTCAGCTGAACATGGATCCCTGGGGCAATCCACTAGAAGAGACCTCCTTCCAAGTTGACATTGAGCCATTAATAACCTCTCTTTGCCTGGGCTATTGAACCACTTCTGAATACATTCACTTGCACTATCACCTAATGCACATAGTTCCATTTTCCCCCCTTCAAGAATAACATAATTAATTTTGTGGGATGCTTTATTAAAATCTAGGCAATCTGGGTCTATAGCATTTCCCTAATCCAGTAGTTTTTAGTAACCTTGTCAAAAAAAGAAATGAGGCTAATCTGGCATAATCTTTATGAGTCCAGCTTGCTCTTTATGATCACCTCTTTTTTCCCTAGATGTCCATTGCCTATCTCTTTAATGATACATCCTGGAATTTTTCTAGAAAGCAAAGTGAAACTCAAAGACCTCTAGAATTTTAAATGTCATTATATTTACTTTTTTTTTTTTTTTAACAATTGGGACATTTGCCCTTCTCCAGTTCTAAAGTTCCTCTCTCATTCGCCCTAACATTTCATAAATTCCAGGATTGTTTGTTTTTTTAAATCTTTTTGATCCCCTTACTTATCTTAGCTATCAACTTCCTTTTAGTAATTTTTTAGAGCCCACTAGTTCCATGATCATTTTCCACGACAGAGAAAAAAGCAAGACAAAAATTGAGCCAGCTCTGCCTTCTCTCCATGTATTATCACATCTACCCAGAGCAGTAATCCCACCCTTGTATCTCAATATAGCTTTTTCAAAAAACACCCTGCAGAATTTTTTGAACTTCAGATCATTATAAGCTATAGCATTTTAACTCTATTCTTACGGGATTGTGTCATACTTTTGTATTCATCTTCTGTTACTAATATATTTCCATTTTTTGCGTGTATAATTTAAGAATCTAATTTGATTGGTCAATTTCCTGTACATCTACATTATTGCCTTTAAACAACTCCCCTTTTTTCCTCTTTATTGAAATTTTTTTATGTCTTTTGAAGTTGATTTTTGTGAGCTTTGCCTGGGTTAATTTCACCAGTACAATATTTATTCATGCCATTTACCTATTCTTTCTATGAGTCCTTGGAAGTCTGCTCTCTCATTCTTATGAGCATGGTGACAATAAATTAAAGCCATCAAAGGAGAAACCAAAGAAAAAAAGGGCTGTGGAGTCTTGGAAGAAGTCCCCACATTTAGAGGGTGGGAGGTAGAAGTACAACTGGCTGAGGAGAAAGAGAAATATCAAGGAAGAGATAAATCTGTGAAGGTGCAATGTCAAATAGACCAGGGAGGGAGAGAGTGTCTGTAAGAAAAGGTTTCCAATATGTAAAATGCTTCAGAGATATTTGGTGATCAAGAACGATTGTGAAGAATGTAAGATTGTAAGGGATAAAATGAGCAGATAAGGAAGTAGAGGTAATGAGTGTAGTCTTAGTTTTCCAGATGTTTGACAATGAAAGGAACATTAGTTTCAGAGGTCGTGAGGGTGAGAGTTACAGGGTCAAGGAAAGGTAGTTTTTTTGTTTTGTTTTGTTTTGTTTAGTATAGGGAAGAATCCTTAGAATATTTGTGGGCAAAGGGATGTAAGCTAATCAAGGAGAGAATGAAGATTTGAGACAAGGTATAGATAATAGAGCAGGATCCAGGAGGGGGCCTGAAGAGATGGTATCAGAGACATAGGTGGAGGGATTAGCCTCCGTAAGAAAGAGGGCTACCTCTTCCTGTGAGATAGGCAAAAAGTATGAAAGAGAGAAGGATGGGTGAAGATACGGGTGTGAAAGATAGTAATTAAAGGATCTCAAAAAAGAAGTTATGGTCATGTTTATCTCTAATACAAGCCTATTAATGGAATTCTACTATAGTTTAATTATAAGGTTTCTAAAAAGCCTTTTTTTTAAACAAAAATTGAATTTCTATTCATTCAGTTCAATGATCCAGAGTTAAAACTTTTAAAATTAATATACATTGGGAACTTAGACTTTAAATTTATTGTTCCAGGTTTCATCGCCCCTAATGAAATGCAAGACTATTATGAATCAATCATTTGATAACCTTTGGGGAAAGCACTGTTTCCTGAAGACTTGAGATTGCACTGGAATTTGAATGTGTGTGTGTTGCAACTTAACCTGTGATAAAGAAAGTGGCCCTTGGTTTTATTGGAGAAGAACTCCTCCCCTTTTATTGGAGAGCTCTGATACAGGGCAAAGGAAAAAGAGAAAGACACAGTGATCCTTTTTGTCCAGCAAGTGTTGATGGTAAGAGATACTCTGCTTCAGCCATGAACATCTCACATGGCTAAACAGACTTTTATTCATTAGAATTTTGACCAAGGAAGATAAGCAGAAGACAATCATGGGCTTCCTTTTTTCAGGAATACAGAGTTTTATGGTAATCAAGGAAAATATGGAGTAGGATTATAAGGCACTGGGAATCAAGGTGGAAAAGGAAAAAAAATAAGTACTTCAACTTAGTAAAGAGAAATCAGACAAACTAAAGATAAAATGTATTTTTTTGATATAAGAATTTGTTGGGTAAGAATGATCACCCAAGAAGGGTTTACAAGTATGACTACCTAATGATTCAGATCTGTACCAGGAAGACTATTCATATTTCATTATTACTTTAGTAAAAAACAGTAGTTTTCATTTATTTGGTGCCAGTGAACCCAGTTGCCAGGAATGAGTCTGAGTGTTTTCATACATATTTTTCATAAATGCAAGAGGCTTGCACAGACTCTAACAAGCATGCTTAAAGAAACAATGTTGCATGCTCAAGTAGCAAAACTAAATATGCTTTACATATTTTTATACTCTTACTCAATGTACCTTCCATGATGTTAGAATTACAGGAGTGGGAGTAAAGTAGGAAATAATGTGATTCTATAGGACTGCAGCAAGTTTAGAAACAGACTGTATGGCCTTTTTCTCAAGCTATTATCTCACAAGTGAGATTACCCTAAATATGAAGAAAAATAATTGACAATCATGATACCATTTTAATTTTGAACCCAAAGTCAAAACTTAAGTGCATTGCAGGTGTCCTGCCTGTAATTAGTTTTGAACAGAAATTATCAGGATTGTAGTTTTTATTTATTTATTTTTATTAGTTTAAATGCTGCATTATTTGGTATCTTTGAAATGCTGCTACAAAGAAAAATGTGTGGATTGCTAAGTACTCAGCAAGAGACTTTAAAACTTCACATAAAATCTGTTATGTTGTGTATAAAATACCTAATCTCATTTAATAATTTGTAAAAATGTATCTCTGAGTATTGTATTAACTATCAAAGCAAAATGATCAGTAAGACTGGAGATTGGAGAAAAAAATATGATTTTCTTATGTTGGTCAAAGATAAGTTCAGTATTGTTTACACTAAGGTATCCTCTATTGTCTTACTTGCCAACACTTCCCATTGAGTGTGTGCATTATGTGACTTCTCTGCTCCCAAATACCTGTAACCATAAGAGAGGTTTTAATTCTTTTGCTTAAAATCACTTTTAAATGTGTGTAAATACTATAGTATGTTTAATACTAATTTGTATACCCCTTTTATTTTTTTCTAATACATAAATAATATTGATATAAGGCAAGGTCTATGTGGGGTTTTCTCTCTTCCCTCAGATCTTGAGCTGGATTTTCCTGAATGTCCTTGGTTAGTAATATTGAAGATTATAATTTTACATTTCAGAAACAAGCATGAAATCTGGTAGCTAAATTTAGATCCTACTATTTATTGATATTTTCAAGAACAGCTAACTAGAGAGTTTGGAGGTGATTTTTACAAAATATATTTAAGCATCAGCTAACTCTTTTTATTTTAAGCTACACAGTCGTTTGTTCATGTTCTGTATGAAGCCTGCACAATCTGTGGCCAGCAGGCCACTTGCCACACAACAAAGGATTTTGGGTGGCCTATGAAAAATATAGAGGAAAACATCCTTTACATTTTTTGCAGGCCACCCAAAATCTTTTGGCATACAGTCCACGGGCTGCAGGTTGTACAGGCCTGGCTTTTTCAGTTGACTGAAGAATTAAGATTCTGTCAGAATTCCATAAAACATTCAGAACCTCTTAGTTCTATAGCAGAAACAACCAGTACCATTCTGCAGCCAATAAAAGTGAGCATCCCTGTTTCATCCCTTGATGTAATGAATTAATAACAGAATCAATCTAGATTCTGAAGTGCTATCCTTTTATAAGTATTAAAAGACATGTTGCATTGAGGAAATGATGAAAATATGGTCCTTCTGCATGTACAAATGCTTTTGACTTAGTTTTGTCAATTTCTATAGCAATTTCTAAACAGCCATAGAAATTAATTCTGGACTAAGATGTGGCAACATGATTTTCTTTCATATCATGTTGTTTTTTCAACTTAAAAAAATACCAAAGAATATACTGTTTAACATTTTTATATTTAAACTTTGCAACCTTTAAAAAAAATCATGATTACCAATAATCAAGCCCCTATGTAAATAATGAAAGACAGATGTTTATATCAACTTTTCACACAGGTGATATGTCATAGAATGTTCACTGTTTGGCTGATTAAAAAAAAAGAACTCTTGTCAGTAAATATGGTGTGCTATCTAGTTTTTTTCTGTTCTATATTGAAATGCACACAGATTAGGAAAAAAGCTAGTCATCTGAGTAAATTATATACTGTATATCACTATGTGCTTAGATTTATAAACTGCATATAATCTTTAATTGTAGTGACTATTGTGGAGGAAAGCCTGAAGGATTGAAAAGTTCACCAAGATAGGTCCTAATGTGGTATTTATGTGACTAGAACCTCTGTTCATTTTACTAGGGTTTCTTCGTGTTAAAAGTCAAAAAAGGAACCAGTTACAACAGCCTGTGTCCTCATGGAAAACCCCTAGAAGATAGCTTTTCTATTTCAAATTGTTATATGACTCTTGGATTTCCAAGAGATTTCTTTAGGATGACACAGTCTAAATAATTACTGAATGGGGGCCAGGGCTGGGATGACAGGAAAAATTGGCCATTTCTTTTAAATTATATAAAAGCTGAATATAAGGTATACAGTTATCCTTTTTAGGTTAGTGCTCAACCAAACCTGAATTTTTAACAAACTTGATCAGCAATTGAAAAAAAAAACCTAAATTACATCAAATGGACCCAGTTTTAACCAACTAAAATTTTGAGGTTTTATCACTTAACGTAAAACAGCCATTCTAGAACTGTTAGTTGTAGATGTTCAGTTGAACTATATGACAGCATGACCAATCTGATTCTTTCTGAAAAGTTCACAGATCAGTATCACTTAATGTGTGATAATTTTCTTTAGTCAGAAATCCAAGATGATCACATCAGGAATACTGTTGTCCTTTTGTTTCTTATATTTATATATGAACTAAATCTGATCCTAACTTACTAAATTCTATGAAATGGCTCAAGGTGTAATTTGGATTTATTGTTTATTTACTTTTATGTGAATTTAGAAACGTTATTTATATGAAATATAATATAAAATCCCCAATTAACTAGCAGAAATATTTTGGCTACTCAGATAATTCAAGTGAAAAACATTATAAAGTATCTAACTCTTTAACTATCAGGATTAAGTTTTTACTTTCACTGTCTCTTTCTTTTTTCGAATGAACGAACGAACGAAAAGCATTTAAGTTCTTACCATGTGCCAAGCACTGTGCTAAGCATATTAATAACACCCACTATAATAGGGAAAACACATTATCTCAGCATTAGTTTGATTTCGACTACAGATGAGTATATTGTAAGAAAATATCAGAAGCACTGAATATACAATAAGAATCACTAAATATTGTAAATAAGAGATTAAACTCCCTAAAGAGTTAAGGCTCGTAAACTTCTAGTTAATTCTGTCCTGCATCAGCACTTTTTGTAATAATGGCTTATAATGAAGATGTGAGCATTAATACTGCATTTTCTAGTGTATTGTCACAGTATCATATAAAGTGTTAATAGCCATTTTACTTGTCTTTTATGGAGTTAGATTTATACATCTACCAGAAATTAGCATTATCCTATGCAGGATAGAAAAATAAACATTGTTTCGCAGCTATAGAGACATGTCTACACTTATTAAAACAGTAGTTCTCTTCCTACATTTTTCATTCTTGAAAACCAATTCAAAAGCATGTAAAGTTATTATTCTTTAATTGATGGTAGCAAATTTTGCACAGTTCCAAATCTTGTGCCTAAGCAACATAATGGTTATATCACACCCTGTGCAAAATGTATAGGTCTTTTCTGCTTTTATACAGCATGGTCTCAAATTCCCCAAATTTACATTCTGGGCATGATTATTACCACAATCAAAAAGTCATTAAATTGAGAGGCCTAATCCTACTGATTAAACTGCCTACTTTAGAAAATGAATTAATTCTTTTAGAACATTAGGGCACCTATTGGGTGCTGAGGAATAACTTAGGTTGCCATGAATTTTCTAAGTTGTATCCTGCTGTCTGCTTCAAGCCAAGGCATTCCACTATGACAATTCCTGATGAGAAACTAAGAGATTTTATTTTAGTGTGGTATTTCCTTCTGCAAACCAACGCTTTTATTTTTTTAAAGGCATTTGGGGAGTGGGGTGGGAAATAATTTCACCTCACATGGGATTTAATGCATGGTAAGTCTCACTCTATTTGTTGTCTTGTCTGTAGGACCAAACATTCTAGTCTGCCTATATATTATGATTTGAAGGAGTAGGAGACAGACATCCTTTACCCAAATAAAGTAGCCACTGTCATTCCTTCCAGCTTTGTAGTGTCCCTTCTTTAATTCCTGAAGGCTTTCCATTCTTTTTTTTGTTTTGTTTTGTTTTTTAGTGAGGCAATTGGGGTTAAGTGACTTGCCCAAGGTCACACAGCTAGTACGTGTCAAGTGTTTGGTCTGAGGCTGGATTTGAACTCAGGTCCTCCTGACTTCAGGGCCGGTGCTCTATCCACTGAGCTACCTAGCTGCCCCTGAGGCTTTCCATTCTTAAAGAGTTCTCCATCACCCCTTCTCTGCCAAGTAGAAATATCTCTGGTGAGGGACTATGTAAATGTAGCGGTTGGGAGTATTCTGTATTAAGAAAAACATTATCAGCTAACCGGAGATCACTGGGCACCTTACTAAGAGGAAGGCCCTAAGGAATTATCAAAAGCTAGGCATTTAGCTGGGTTTTAGTGCCAAATGCTAACTTCAACTACTTCAAATTGTGTCTGAATTGGTCAGACTGCCTGTCAGTTTTCCTGGGGTTGTTGATTTAACAAAAACAAAAAGGGGATTGAGGTGGGGAGAAAGAGGATAGCATTCCACTTCTGGAGACAGAAACTGCAATCTATCTACTTAATGTCATATTTGACCAAGCAAACTCCAATCCATGGGCTCAAAACCTACCAATGAAGCTATTGGACAGGCCTTTGACCACTGTAAGAAAAGCCACATGGTTCAGTTTTCCTAATAAGATTTGTAAATATTGTATTGCTTGGGAATTATGGATTAACCATGCACTGAACACACATTGTTAATTTATCTTAGGTGACAGATGTATATAAAAATCATGCCAAGTTTTACATAGGTAAAACATTAAAATTTATTAAAACCAATACTGAAACATGTCCATTCTATTTGCTGCTAATTTTTGTAGTAGCGATTTATTATTAACAGTGTTTCAAAACTGTGTTGAGAAACTTTAGTTTCATCAAAGACAGAGATGAATTAGTAATGTAGCCATCTTTTTTTTTTTTGTCAAAATAAAAATGTTTAATGTCTTGTTTGGACAGAGAGCTAGTTGGATTAAAGAGTGACTGTTGTGAACTTTTAGATGGTGCTTAAGAATTCTTATCTTTCCAGATAGAAAGTGGTGTTTTTGTTTGTTTGTTTGTTTGTTTTTTGGAGAAGAAAATAAAAGGAGTACGTAAGATAAAGTGCCACTCCATCCTCAGGTCATTTTTTGTGGTATATTTAAAGCCAATGTTTGTGCCACTTGCCAGATTTTTGGATTTTTTTTTCCTGCAATACATGGTTGTTCTGGTTAACAGTATATTTAAGATTATATCATTATTGCATTGCTTTAAGAAGCTTCACAACTAGAAGTGGCCCATGATGGGTTAGTTCGCATTAAAGAAATACTAATTCAGCCAAGGTAAATATATACAGGTCAACTAAAATCAAGGCACTAATTTTTGTTATAATTTTCCTTTTTCAGTATTTTATTCCATAACAGGATTCCCCATGCCTCCAAATTATTCTGCATGAATTTCACCAGGCTTAGTACTTGGTAAAGTCTAGAACTTGTCAGTTATTTATTTGCTTTTTCAGAGTATATCAAATATAACAGAAACGTTAAAACAAAGAAATGTACACACTTTTTATTATTGTAAACTTTGGCTATAGTGACAAGAATGGCGAGCTGTGATCAATATCCAATGGACCGATGCTAGATTTCCAGTGAGTGATCTGATGTTGTATATTACACAGGAGTGATGCCTGTAAATGTAAATAACTGGTGAAAATGACAGTTTCTTTTTGGTTCTTGATATGTACTGTACTATAATATGTGTGTGAATATAGATATACACACACATACACACATGTATGTGTATTCCACTGTTGTAATCTGGAAAAAAATTATGTATTATCTTTTTATACAGTACCTGTGTTTGTGTTTATTATTTAAAAAGCAAACATGTTTTATCTAGTTGTATAATATTTTAGGATATTTCGCTGTGCACAATTCCAAGTGCCTTAGAACATTGTGTAGCTTTCTTAATTACATATATATATAAATGCATATATGTGTAAAAATGAGAAATTTTACCTCAATAAAACAGTTGGGAAAATCCCCACTGAGTTTCCACAGTGTTTAAGTTACCTGAGGTAAAAACTCAGAAGGCTTATACTTATATTTTAAGGTAACACAGGTATGTTTCTTAAAAGACTTGGTTTATCATCTCCACCTAACTTTTTGAAAAGTATGAGTATACATCTTTTGTAATGATTTTATTCTTAAAAATTGTCCAATGAATTACTATTAATGTTAATCAAGTAAAATTTTAAAATATTTTTAATTTAATAAGTCATTTAAATATTGATTTTAAATTCTTAGTTGCACTAGCCATTGTGCAAACATACATAAAAGCAGCTCCTGCTCTCCAGAATTTCTAAGATACTGAAGCAAAAATAACGTAGTACAACCTCACCTTTGTTGACTTTAAAGTTTTACTTTGATATTTGTTTTAAATCACTAGAATGTGTAAGAGGATGATTCTGGGTTTTTTCTGTCCAGTACAGATTTGTTTTCAGTATATATTTCCAAAGGGCAATGTTTTTCAACAGCTGTTGATCAATGGCAACAGAAAATCACACCTTATATAAACAGTGACTTTGGCCCTTCAGCTTCAGATGTTGCCTCTGCACTGACTTCTTCCCAGCCAAAAATGTTTTTCTTTTTAGAAAAGTTTTTAGAAGGTTATATTTTCATAGTTGTTGGTAAAGGATTATTTATGGCAAACTGTGTAATAGGATATAGCAGAATAAATAAGTTTGTCCTGAGCAATGATAGCCATTTTGTTAGCAAGAATTAGTGATTTATTTGCAATGAGCAAACATGTAATTTTTGAAAACTTTGCACCAAACCTAATCATTAAAAATGTTTACCCAGTTTAGTACCCTAACTCTAGAATACAAGCTCATTGCCTTTCCATTTATCATTTTTTGATTTAAAGGTTGCTTTGGATATCGAGATTTAACTCCACCTTGAATGACAGCCATTGCAGGTGACCACATGAAATGAGCTTCTGGTTTTACACAATTTTTCATTTGCTTTAGTGATAAATGGTCAATTGTAATACAATGGTATTTTGCTGGATGCAGTTTCATATATGATAAAAGGATGCTCCTATAACAAATTCACCATACTAATAGAGCAAATGGTTTAAAGATTTTTCTGCACAAACCAATTCTGTTTCAAGTTTCAAATAATAGCTAGCATTTAATATCTTCAAGCACAATTATCTCTAAAGAGTGGTCATTGATAATGAAAGAATTCATTAATTAGAAAGCATTTATTAAGTGCTTATACTGTGTAAAACACTGTGCTAAGCTCTGACATAAAGAGAAAAAACAAGATAGGCCCTGTTTTCAAGGAGACCATAGTGCAGCTAAAAGTAAAAGTTTGAAGATTTTTTTCATTATCTTTTAAATCAGTACCCCCTTTTTAGAGACCCAGGAGGAAGAGTTATAGGTTAATTTCTATAATAATAAGAATGGGTCTCTGTCTGTTCAGAGAGACTGCTTTAGTCAGAGCAAGAAGGACTCAAGACTTATCAAGACTACTGTGGTGAATAAAGCACTGGGCTGGAAGGCAGGAAGGCTTCAAATCTTGCCTTAGATATCATCTGTTACCCTGGACAAGTCATTCAACTTCTCTGCTTCAGTTCTCATCTATAAATTGAGGGAGGAGGGCTGACTCAATGGGCTTAAAGGTCCCTTCCAGTTCTAAATCTATGATCCTATGATCCATATTTCAAATGATACAAACTTCTAGTATTTAATAGATTTCAAACTCATCAAAGTTTCCATCTCTCCCCTCCAATCTATCTTACACACTATTACACTGAGAAATTGATTCTAGTAAAACAGTTTTGGTCATATCACTCCCCCAATCAAAAACCTTTACTGAGTTGCCATTTCTTAGTCTGGCATTCAAGGTGATACTCAACCTGTCCTTCAGTTTTATCTCCCTCTACTAGTAACCTTAACCTATCTTCCACACCAACAAAAGCGAGCTTACTCTCCATCCTCTGAACTCCTACGTGCTTTGTGACTCTTTTGGTACTTATAATAAATGCTGACTGACAGCATGGTATAATGGAAAGAGAACTGGACTTGGAATCAGAAGAACTAGGTCTGAATCCTGGTTCTACTATTTGCCAACTAGAGCAAATCACTTCACTCTCTTGATAAAGGGGGATTAATCCTTGGCCTATCTATGTAAAAAAAAATGCTTATACTGTGCATTGTAAATGCTGAGTGTGATATATGAATGTATGCTATTTTTGTTATTATATTTTTTGTATATAGGTGTCCTACACCTTCTACTCAACCATAATGTCCTGGACAGCAGGAATCATTTAATCATTTCTGTATCTGCCATATCTAACACATTATTTTACACATATTGTTTTAAATGCAGATATCCAATAAATACTTACTGAATGGCAGTGACTTTAAGTCAACAAATATATACTGAGTACCTGCTATGTATAAGACTCTTGCCAGGCATTTGGGTAGAAGACTATAAAAAGAGCAGAAGAAATAGCCCCTGCCCTTGTGGAATTTAACGTCTATGTGAATGAAGTGAAAGTATATTTGCTTTCTTACTGACTTCCAAACCATCTTATCCACCCATTCATATATACCATTGCCTTATTCCTATCCATGACCCCAATCTATTAGAGACCCTGCCTTAGCTAAGGGATTTGGGGGGTAAAGGGAGGCAAACTACCTTTTAGCACTGCTTTCATTAGCAGAAGAAGGGGAAAAGCAATATGCTTGGCACATAGTAGATACTTAATAAATGCTTATTGATTGATTGAAACTATATATTTTTAAAAAAGGCACAGATTAGATGAGCTAGCCCTGAAAGAGAAATTAAAGCAATACCTGTGTTCTCCCTCCGCCCCTAACAAAAAAAGAAATGTAGAGACCTCTCTTACATGATGGCAGAAGAAAAAGTGTTTTATAACTACAATAGATACAATCATGGTA